GCTTTCTGTGTTCAGACCTAGCTCTGATGTGGCCTTCACCTGCTAGAGACTGCCAGGCTGTCAGGATAATGTCTGGGGAGATGCATCACGTATTCACCAGTACCTGTCAATGTGAGCCTGAGCCTCTGAGCCTTCCCAAGTTTCTTTCTATGCCCACTGATAACTTCAGGTTTTCAGAGACAGGTGAGAAAACGAGGAATACAAGTAGCTGTTGTCCACAAAAGGGCCTTGTTCTTGAGTCATGTTCTCAGGTACTTTTTTTTTTTTTTTTTTTTTTTTTGGACTTCTATCAACAGCTATTTGTTGGGGTTATGGGGTTAGGAGCATTGCCAAGTATTTTGTCCCATGCTTTAGGAAATAGGGTGAAGCTTTATCCACCAGTATGACCAGTATGACCAACTCTACATTGAGCTCTGTACTGTTGAATGGAGATGGGTGCAACTAAGTGTGCTGTGTAAATTCCCAGCAGTAGAATTCTGTCATCTGTCCTGAGTTCTACTTCCAAGCTTCTCAGGTACAAAGGGTGTGGATAGCCTTTGTATTTTGCTTAAAAGTCAATTTCAAAAGTTGGGTTTGCATCGCAATACTGTTTCCAGCATGTTACCTTCATAGTCAGATTTGGCTCACTAGGATAGGGCTTTGGTGGTACAGAAAGCAGCTGAGGAGCTGGTAGGACTGTCATTTTAAATCCTGCACCAGTCCTGAAATCTATAGCTGAAGTGGAGATGGATCTGTTTTATTGCACTTGCACCTAATATGTGTGGGTCAGTACACTTTGGAGTCTGACATACTGGTGTGTCAAAACTTTTTTTTAAGAGTGCAACTACATTGTTTGACCTCTTATAACTGCATGCTTTAGTTTGAGATGAAGCATCTGTTCATTGCAGAAGAATCTGGTTGTTTTGTTTGTCTGTTGCATCCTCTTGGAAGGAAAGCTGTAGAAGCTCACCTATTGGGTTCTGTAAGCAAGTAGTATTGTCTTCAGAGTTTCTTTTTGTTGGTTTCACAGCTGATGATATATCTTTTCAATTGATTTCTTCATGATATATCCCCTAATTCTCTCCAAACTCACCTCAGGAACATGGTGCATCTATAAGTAATGCTGTTGAATTATTTAAGACTATTAAGAGGTTTAGTGCAGCTGCTGGAAAGGTTACCATGATGTTATCTGCTTGTCCTGTGGAGCTTTGTCTGTTCTGTATGTGTTTGTTAGAATTGTTCACCAAATGGGAAGAAGAATGTTAAGTTCAGTCTTGTATATCATAATCTTGTGTTCCCAGATATCTCAGTTTCTGTACCTTGCTGGTCAGGCTCTTGGATTTACACAGGAGTCCAGACTCCTGGAGTCCGATTCTGTTATAACTGCTAATCTGCGAGAATAAGAATTAATTGTGGGGCGTCTTCTAACCTCCTAGTAAAATGAGTTCTTTAAAAACTTCAGTTATTTCTTCTTCTAGTAGCTAATTAACTTCTTGAGCATAATTCTGTAAAAATGCACTCTTCTTTATCAGCAGCAAGAGTTCAAAGGATAAAATTAATAAAAGTGAAAAATCCAAAAAAGTGAAACTTACATTTTTGGACTCCCTGGTCATTCCAGTAACTATTTTAGCACTTGGAGCTGTCATTGTTAGAGATTGAGTGAAAAACATGAGAAATGCTTCATCACAGATGTTCTGTTGTCTTCAACTACCTAATTTTTGAATATCAAGTCTGCACTGAGCTATCAGTGTGTATAATGCTAATACTGCTTGTGGTACAGATTCAGCCTGTTATTGAAAGGAACTGTTTCTGATTTAACTTTTAGTAAAATGACTTTTCTTTACACATACTCTTCCAATATATAAGTAAAAGATGGAGTTTCAAGAAAATTTGTAGGAAGCTTTATAAAAGAGGCTGTATGTAAGTATGTGTGTATAGGTGTGTATGTGTATACACACATATATTTTTATATATGCATGTATAATATATTGTCCTTCTTCCACTTCTTTGCTCTCCCTAGGTTTTAGTTTTTCCTAGAAAAACTCTTCTGCCTTAGGATCAAATATTTATAATTTTTCTAATTGTGGTCCCTGAACATGAACCATGAATCAGTAGCATACTGCCTTCTATTTACAGGTAATCTTTTCTGTGCAGCCTGGTGCTTTGGTCCTGTGGGTAAAAGAAAAATGTTGGTCATGGGCTCCAGTATTGAAATATACTCACACACCAGGAGCCAGTGGTGTAGCTGTGTTTCACACTTAAAATTAATAGTTTAGTTTGTTTTGTGGTTTGTTTTTGTTTTTGTTTTTTTTTTTTAAGTCTTTGATTTGGTAGGATCATGGCTTCTGTTCCTCAGAAATGTACACTTCCTGGTGTAGCAGTGGCTGGCTTCACAGTACTGAAAGACAGAAAGATACATACCACATTTCTGACTTTAGAAGAAATAAAATGTTTATCTTTTTGATCCAGGAGCATTCAAGAGAGTATCAGCTGGGTGTTCTTTCTAATACAGCTTTTTCTTAATGCACCATTTTTCCTTGGGCAAGATTATTTTCAAAAGATAGCTCGAAGACAAAGACTGTGTTTTAATTGAAAACGTTTAAAGCACTCTTTTCAAATAAGCTGCCCTTTAAGATACCCTTTTTTTAGGTTTTGCTTGTATGGAAAGGTGATAATGTGGTTATAATTTATAACTAGGAATTATTGTAACCTATCTTGCTTGTATTTACATCATTGGTTTTAGAATATGTTTCTTCAGGTTTACTGTATTTGTAATGTATAAACTTAATATTTTTTTTCCAAGCAGTAACGGCACTGTCTTATTGTAGACATTTCACAGTACTTTTGAAATGGTTTAGAGCAATTACTTGGTTATACTGTTCTTGTTCATATATGAATTGATGAATGCCTTTTATTACAGTAATGGAGAGAACTGCTCTAAATTTTTACTTCATTTGTAGGTTAAAAAGTTTTCCCCATTCTCCCTGAGTCCTTTTATTTTTTTTTACTAACTTTGCAATTTGCTACAATTAATGAAATTCTTGTTTTTTCCTTGCAGCAGTCAGGATAATCACAGAACAGCTGAGGTTGGGAGGGACATCTTGATATTATCTAATAAAAACCCCTGTTCAAGCAGGGTCAGCTAGAACAGGTTGTCCATGGCTATGTCCAGTCAGGTCTTGAATATCTCCACAGATGGAGACTCCACAGCCTCTCTGGGCAACCTGTTTCAGTGTTTGACCATTATCACAGTAAAAAGGTGTTTTCCTGTGTTCAGATGGAATTTGATGTATTTTGATTTGTGCCTGTTGCCTCTTGTCCTGTCACTGGGCACTGCCAATAAAAGTCTGGCTCCATCTTCACTCTCTTCCATCAGGTATTTATATGCATTGGTAAGGTCCCCACTGAAACATATCTTCTCCAGGCTGACCAGTCCCAGCTCTCTCAGCCTCTCCTCATATGAAAAATGCTGCAGTTCCATTATCAACTTCATGGCCCTTTGCTGGACTCAGTCCAGTATGTCTTTCTTGCACTGGGGAGGTGAGAACTCGACCCAGCAGTCCAGATGTGGCTTCACCAGTGCTGAATAAAGGGGAAGAATCACCTTCCTTCACGTGCTTTCAACACTCCTCCTAGTGCAGCCCAGGTTAGTACTGGCCCTCTTTACCACGAGGGTGCATTGCTGGGTCATGTTCAACTTGCTGTCATACAGGACCCCAAAGTCCTTCTCTGCTGAGCTGCTTTCCAGCCAGTTAGCCTGCAGTTTTCCAGCATCTCCAGGTCCCTCTAAATGGCAGCACAACCATCTGGTCTATCACCCACTCCATCCAGTTTTGTATCAGTAGATGGAGCAACCCTGGCTTTGTCTAGCTAAGGCTCTGCAAACTCCAAAGACTGAAGACACCTCCCATGACCTACCTGGTGACCTATCCCAGGGCTGCACTACACACCAGGGGAAGAAGGTTCCCCCAGTGTCCCACTTGGATCTCTCAAGCTACATCTTGTGTCTGTTTCTCCTTATTGCATCTTCTGACACTGCTGGAGAAGGATTTGGCTCTGACTGCCCTTCAGGCAGCTGAAAGGTGCTGTTACATCCCCCTTGACCTTCCCTTCATCAGACTAACCAAAATCATCTCTCCTTATCATAGGCCCCAGGACTCTGCTATCTTAGTAGCTCTGCACTGGCTCCTTTGTAGTTTTATGAACTAGCTCACTCCTTGCACACTCCTCGTAGGGAGTGTGCAGACTGGACACAGTAGGACCCACCTGTTGGTGGGTGTTGCCTCTTTGGGGCCAAGGGTGAAGGCATGACAGCTTGCCCCTTGATTTGCTAGCTGTACTCCTCTTAACAAAGCCCAGTTTTTGGTTTGCTGTATTCAGGAGGGCAGTACACTGTTGCTTTCTGTGAAGCTTCAACAAGTTTAAAAAAATTTATGAGGTCAGTGTTAGTGTAAAGAAATACATGTTCCTTCATACAATGTGAGCTAAGCTCTAATTGCCAATGCTTTTGTTTAGTGTTCTTACTCTAGTCCTAGCTCATTTTCTGCTGATATTCTGTAGAGATAATTGCAGAGAATTTTTTTATCAGCATATATAAAGATACTGTGGGATTTATTTTTTGTGATCTTTGTATCTTCAAATTGCACTTCTGAATGATCTCCTCTTGAGGAGACTGCATACACAAATTTCAGTGTTTTGGGGGATTTATATACAGTTGCTTCTAAGTATGCTTTACACAGGCTGACAGGGATTGTGTGCTTCCTGTAATCTGGCTCTGTGCAAGGTGAGGAATGTTGGTGGAGGCATGAGGCTGTGCTGTGATTTTTAGCTGGAGCAAACTTTTGCTTCCAGCCAGTTACCAAATGTAGAGGTAAAATTTTGAAGTCTTGTACAAGCTTGCTATCTGTATAATTATGTGGCTAGTAAGGAATGGATAGAAGCTGAATGCTCTAAAATTATTGACTGTGATGATAAGTCATGGTTAGTAGCAATGCTGACGCAATTTTCTTTCTTGCCAACAGAGTTTCAGAAGCAGGAAGGCATGAAGTCCCATCAGAAAAACATGCAGCTCTATGACACACCCTATGAACCAGAAGGCAGTGGTGTGGAATCCGATTCTGAAAGTGTGGTGAGTCACCGTTTACGAGAAAGCAAATTGCCACAGGATGATGACAGGCCTGCAGATGAGTATGATCAGCCATGGGAGTGGAACAAAGTCACCATCCCAGCTCTGGCAGGTAGGATTCCTAGATCCTAACCAGGAAATTGTCTCTCACACTCATAGCATAGGTACTTGTCTTTAGGAGAATTCAAGTATTTCTGCTCTTTTGGGGTGTGTGTGTGTGTGTGTATAAATCTCTGAAAAGCAAATGTGGGTAGTCTCAGATCTTTACCTGCTGCAGAAATGTGGAACATTGCACTTTTTGTTTGGTGCTTCAGCTGACCTGTTGTCAACTATTTCAGCACTTGGTTCCCATTAGTAAAACTTCTGTTTCTCCCGCTCCTTGCCCCTACCCCCATTTTAATGGACATGATGTAGATAGTGTTTATTGTTGGAGTGGCTCTATGATGAGGGAGTTGCTTTGCAAGGTCCTTAAATTGTGGGGCAATTCTTAAAGGGGCAGGACAAAAAATATCTGTGTAACGTATATGCAGTAACATGCTTCTACTCGGTGATGAATTTCTTGCTATTTGGAGTTTTTTTTATTGTAATTGCAAGCATTTCTATGGATATGTAGAACTTGGCTTTGGATTCATCCTTTTGAACTGCTGAAGTTCTCCCACATCAGCACTTGTTCGTGAGGGAGATCTGACACAAACTGGTTTTTGTCTCTGTGGATGTCTGTGTTGGCATTGGTTACACTTCTCTTTTTTTCCTTTCTGTTACTTTGTGGAAAGGGCTGCGGGGGCTTTATTCAGCGAGGATGTGATTCTAGAGGCCAAGGCTTTTTCTTTCATAGAGCTTCTGTGTGCCCAGCAAGGCCCAGGTGTATCAGGTAGTCTGACCATGTTCCAGGATGCTCTTGTGGGGTGCTAGGGTCATACATGCTCTATGACGTTCCCCTCAAGTGGCATGTTCTAGAGAAAAGCTGTGTCTAGAAGCAGGGTTGTTCCCCTTCCTTTTTAGGAGTCAGCTTGGCAGAAAGCTTGGAGAGCTGTGGGTAGTGATGATTGTGGGGATGAGAAGGGAAGAAACGAGATGTGGCTCCGGAAGGAGTATGGAAGAAGCCTGAGAGCAATGATTAGTAGTCAATGTTAATTTAGGCTGGGTAAATCCTGCTTGACAAACCTGTTTGCTCTCTGCATTGAAACTACTAGATCTGTTAATGGAAGGAGAGCAGTAGGTGTCATCTATGTTGACTTTAGCCTTCAGCATGTTGTGCTGTGGCATCAGCTGTGTTACCTGGTTTGGAATGCTGTAGCCTAGATGAGTAGACTACTAGATGCATGAAAACCTGTGAGGGTCACTGAACGCAAAGAGTAGGGCTTAGTGATTTATACTCTTCCTGGAGTCTGGTTACAAGTTTGATTACTCGGAGTATCTGTTCTGGAACCCTTCCTGTTCAGCATCTTTATCAGTAATCCAGAGGAGGAGGAGAGGAAATGCACCTCATCAAGTCTGGAATTATATCAGATGGGGGGGAGGGGTTGTGTGTGTGCAGAGCAGCCATTGAGAGCGACCTGGACAGGCTGGAGAAATGGGCTGACAACAAACTTACAAAATCCAACCAGGACAAACTCAACGACCTGCACCTGGAGCAGACTAACCCTTTGCAAAAATATGGACCAAGGGCTGGCTGACTTGCTGGGTTACAGCTTTGCTGGAAGGGGCTTAAGGAGTCCTTGGGGAAAGTGGACTAAATGCAGTGCTCCCCAGCAGTGACGAAGGCTAGCAACATCCTGGCCTGCGTGAACAGGAGCATAGGCAGTAGATCAAGCAAAGTGACTGTTCCTCTTTACTTTGCATTTCTTACACAACCTGTGTAATGTCGTGTCCAGTATTATGATGCAAGAAGGCTGTCGATAAATGTTGATGTCAGCAGAGAGCCACCAAAATGACAGGAAACTGCAGCACATGACTTGTGAGGAGACACTGAGAGAACTGGGCTTGCTTAGCCTGGAGAAAAGAAAGCTTTGGGGGCACGTAATAGCAACTTTCCAATGCCTATGAGGAGATCTCTGAGAAGATGGAGCCAGGTTCTTCACAAATGAGCAGGTGTGTGATGGGAAGATGAGACATAAGTTCAATCAGGAGAGGTTCTGACTCGATATGGGGAAAATTTATTTTCTCTGCAAGGACAGTCAAGCATTGAAACCGATTGTCCAGTGAGCTTTTGCAGTCTCCATTTTTAGATTTTTTCATCTTGTGTGAAGGGATGACTGGATAAAGTTCTGAACAACCTGATCTGATCACTTAGCAGACCCTGCCTTGTGCAGGTTGTACTAGACACCTGCCATGGTCCCTTTCCACCTGAATTATTCTATGATTTTGCAATTCTCTGTGCCACGCTGCACAAATGAGAAGTGACTTCTCTCCACAGCTATAGAGGGCTACTGTTCTGTAAACAGAGCCTGTTGTGACAACACACTTCTTGGGTGTTTCTGACCTGATCCCCTAATAGGTAGGCATATGTGGGCGACAGAAACGTGTTTCTCTTCTAGGACAGTGAAGTATAGCAGTGGGGATCTGTTGTGAGAGTGATTCTGCCTCTCTGCTTCATTTGTTCTTATGTCTTTAGATTGTGGTTTATTTGGGTTTGTTTCCAAGCCAAGCTGATGTCTGTAGTGTCCATCCTGTGAAATGTGGGTGGGAGCAAGAGACACATGGATGAACCTAAAACAGCTGCTTAAAAAGAAGTGTCTTGCCCAGCATCCCCTTTCCTCTTGTTGGGCCCCTGTGGAACAGAAGAGCAGGATAGAGAAAACTGATTTCTACTTCCTGGCAGCATGGTTTGCTCTGGCATGTGAGCTGTTAATAACCTTGCAGAGTTCCAGGCTCAGTCTCTTTCTCATTAAGCCTGTGCTGATAGTTCTTTCAAGCTGGCATCTAAACCAGCATCCAGTTCTGCTGGATGCTGTGCAGGTAAGGTAGTCTCTCTCCCTAAAGAGCACGAACTCCAACACAAAAGTCTAACCTGCTTGTGTGGCTTCTAGTAGGATATACAGTTCTGCTGCTGAGCTCTGTGTGGTGGAAGCAGGCTTTGGTTCAGGCTTTGCTGGACCAATTGAAATGCTTGCAAGACTTGTGCTGGGAGATTGCCTGGCTGTGAGATCCTGGCTATGATTTGGGATATCTATTGTGTGTCAAGACAGTCTAATCAACAGAGACTACGTTTCTGGTGCCACAATGGCTGTTTTGCAGATGCTGAACATCACTCTGGTGTATATGTGTAAAGCCTTTTGCTTTGGGTTTATGCTATGGCATTGGTGTCTGTCCCAGTTCAGTAGATATTTCCGTGCCTTTTCATGTGACCTTATGATGGCAGCAATGTTGCCTTTGCCTAGAACATATGTGCAGCCTTCATCTCCTGACAGGTGAGCCTTACTACACAGCAGCATGGTCTACAGTAACTCTTGTAGAGGTAGGGTGTCTGCTATCTGGAAGGATCCACAAGCTACCCACAGCACATGTAGGGGCTGTGCAGTTCATTTGCAGTGGGTCTTAGGCTGCTCTCTGTATTGTTTTTCAGGGAATTTCTTTATTCTTCATTACAGATTCAGGAGGGTTTTCCACCGTTTTCCCTCTGCCAGCACATCTGCATCTTACCCATCTTTCCTTCTTTTTTTGTAGTCATCCTTTCCCCTTTCTTTTGTCCTACAGAACTGCATCTATGTCTAGACTCTCTCATTCATCCTTCTACCTGACACTTGGTCCCACTCTGTTACCTTCTTACACATCCTTGAGATTTGTCTTCTCCCACCTTCAAACACCTGCTCCCTATCACTCTAGACCCTCTCTTATTAGCTGTATGTGCATTTCTGCCCACAAGGAAGAAGAATGGTGTGCTTCCTCATTCATCTCCATCCTTCTAGCCCTCTGAGCTGGGCCAGATGCCATGTCTGGGCTACAGCGACTACAGATTGCTGTTAAAGAGCTCCTGCAAAGGAAGCTGAACAATTAATTCTTGCTGACTGTGTTAGCTGAAAGGCTTCCAGTTATTTTTTGCCAACATGTCCAGTGTTTGCTTGGCTGGAGTCATGTTCAGCCATTCTTGCATGTTTGACATGTTTGACAGTTTGAGGTTAGAGGTACTTTTGAGCAAATATTTTTTTTTGAAAGTGAAAGGGTAAGTAAAGCCCTTGGACTACATAAAAGGTCAGGGAGGAACAAAAGCTTGAGCCAGTGACACTTAAGTCTTCAAAGGTGGAACTCTTCAGGGCTGTTTATCTCTCTGTAGCTTGCTTCTGTGGTTTAGCGTAGGACAGGGATTCTGTGAGTTGAGTTTTTCTTTACGTATTAGTTTTGATCATTTTCCAAAGGCAAAAAGTAACATCATAGTTATTGTGATCTTTCTGCACATGGATGGTGATTGCGTGCTACCCAGAAGTCATTTTTCTTTCAAAGTATGCAACATACCTAAACTAGAAACTTCATTGTTTAGCAACAGTAAGATACAAGCTGTGGGACCAGTACACTTTACAGATTTCTCAATTAGTAATAAACCAGCCACAGAAATGGGATTATTAGTTTTAAAAGTTATTGTTTTGAGAGTCATATGGGTGCATACAGAAATCTTAGACCTTGTTCTTCATGTATTGTGCATATTATATGAAATGGCTGTTTTTTAATTCATTGAATCCAGAGAACAGATTCATTAGTTTCTACTGCATACTTTTTTGTGCACAACTCATTTGGTGTTTGTAAAGTCTTTGAGCTCTGTAATCATCTCCATGCCCACCTTTTTGGTCTTTATCAGGTAAATTCTGAAATAGTTTTTTTGAACGTTGATTTTAAAGAAGAGAATCTTAGTTTTGACAATTTTTTTCTTCATCTGTAGTTTTTAGTTTGTCTACATGTGACTGTAAATTAATAAGGCACAATCCATACAATATGAGATTTTATCATTGCCCTATGTGTAAATATTCTTCTAAGCATTGTGTAGTTAACTCTTATGAAAGCACACTGAATTAAAATATTGCTTTACAAAAGTAACAGACTAAAAAGAAGTTTAATTAAAAAGTATTATGATATGGTTGAATTCCTTATGGGTTCAGCATGCAGCATTCTGTTTTAAAATGCTAAGAGAGTAAACATTTTTTGAGATTAATTTGATTTTTTTGATTGCATCTGTCATTCATTATAACTTAGTATATCTTAGGTACCCAGTTATTTGTTACAAAGCAATGCATAAGGATTAGTTGCAAGCATAGATTTAAGCTGCTGTCTCATCTGGTGTCTCTATACTTAATCTAACTCCTAGGAATTACAAATATTTAAAATAAAGAAAGAAGAGGTCCAATTTCTGAGTTTGAAACAGTGGGAAGTTTGCAATGGAAAAGTTTTGACCCTCTGCTGAGATGTGTGAAGTGCTTTTCTGGCTTATTGCGTACTGTTGTTCTGTAATGTAGCTAGCTAATGTAACTAGACCAGGTGGGGATTTTTTCAGTTCTTAGCTGATGTTGATTTCACTGAAGAGCACAATGTTGATCTAAGTGGTATTAGAAATTCTAGCAATGGACAAGTCCCACTTTACAGGTCCACAACTACCATCCCCCAACTACTTGGAGTTGTGGAGGCTGTGAACCTGAAGGGGCTCTCTGCTAAAACTTTCCTATTTTGAGAAGTTCATCTGAAGGGAACAACAGATATTTGTGATGTGAAGTGCAGACACAAAGAGACTTATGTAACCAATGTTTTTGTTTTGCCAGGTGATAGACCTAGGAAACAAAGCAATATGGCAAGCAACACTAGAATTATCATGAAGTTAATTACTCATGCAAGTCTTTTAAGGAAAACATTTGTTCCTCTGCAATGATTTCAAGATTTTTTGCTGAAGCATGGATAGAACCTGTTTATCTCCAAACTGGAGTTAGAGATGTGCCAGACTGAAAGTGTGCACGAGCCATGAAGTCTGTTCAGGCTGAGGGGAGCATGTCTGCACTGTGGCTCCTAAGCATGGCTCTGGGGCTGGTGTCATGCTGACACTTGTGGAGCAAGCTATGTATAGCCTTCCTCAGGGACTTATGCTGTTAACTGCAGTGCTGAAAGGTGTGTCTCTGTACAGCAGAGCTGGAGTGCAGCATTTTGACTGTCTGCAGCTTGAATTCTTTCACAAACAAATTTGATTTTGTTTCATTGGAGGCTGTACAGCTGAAGCTGAAATGTGGTTTTGGTGGCTTTTATGGGAAGTAGGCAGGTCTTGTTAGAGGTCCTGCCAAGCTGGACAAACTGGTTTGCCCAGAAGAGCTGAAGTTGGCAAAGTAACAGGAGCAAAGTAGCTTTCTGGTACATAAGTCTGGCTGGAAAAGGAGATAGCAACACCAGAGAGCCCATTCAGGAATGTCAGGCTGACACTGGCTCCCATTTGAGTGTGTGAGAAATCAGGCTTTTCCAGGCTGTCATGTGGAGATAGCAAACCTCTGGGTAAAGGAAATGTATGTTAAGTCTGTAGAGCCTATCTTAGTATTGCTTTTCAAAATAAGTGGCCCTCTGTTATGAATAGGGCCTCTCTTATGAAGACGCCATCTGGTAGTAGTTTCCAGCACTGATCATGGATGCCTTGAAGGAGGATCTGTAGATGCCAGACTTGGTCACCTCTCCTGATTGCAGCTGCTGTTGCACAGAAAGCTGGTGACTAGGACCCTGGGGGACTTCAAGCAGGCGAGTTTTGGCGTGCCACCACAAGAGGGTTATGGCACCAGCTACAGGGCAGAGGAAGAGAGGACGCATGGAGAGTAAGGAAGAGTATGCAGTCATTTCCATAACTGTAATGACTATGTAAACAGAAATACCATAGCAATAAAAAAACTTTACACTCCCAGCTGTGTGGAATTGAGCTTCTGAACCTTCACTGTATATACTGCAGTTTTGATTAAGAGGGGACTTATAGCAGCTGAAACTCAGTCCTGATAACACCATTACATGAGTTGGTGCCTGACTGGGTATCGTGCTTGTCAGTTTAATCTGCCTGGATATCCCTTTCAGACTGCTTCTTCATGCCAATTTAATTCTCAAAAAAAAAAAAAAAAAAAAAAAAAAAAAAAAAAAAGGGAAAAACACCAAAGCCATAGATGCAATTTACTCTGTTACCTTCAGTGAGGAAGCATGGAAACCAAGGAAGAATGCTTTTAAGATTTTCAACTCCTGTCTCCCTCCCAATTTAAATCTCAAAAAAAAAAAAAAAAAAAAAAAAAAAAAAAGAAATAGGGCAGAAGTCCAGAGACATGTATGGGCTTTTCAGACAGAAAAAAACATTCAAAAGCATCTGAAATGTAACTTTGTCTGTGCTATCTTCAGAGAACAGATCCTACTTCTAACCATCATGTTGTAAAGATATTGCTGTTTACAATCAGAACTGAATTTCATGTTTGCTTTGCGAACTGAATTTTTTGGTGTCTGAAAGATGTTGCTTGGTCAGAGGCTGACATTAGGTTCACCAGTATTCACAGAGTTCCCAAATTAAATCCAGGTGTTTTTCTTACAGTTGAAATAATAGTGCTGTTCGTATGTGTCACTGCAAGTACACACATGCAATGTTTCTCCTTGTTATGCTAATCAGCTTTCATTACCCAGTAATGAGATTAAATCTGAGTTTCCATTTTAGAAATAACCTGCCTATTTCTGCCATGCACACTTCAGAATATGATTTAATACATTTGCCCAATTTTTGCAATAATTTGTGTCTACTTTCTCTGAGTAGAGGGGAAATTTGGAAGTGTCCTAAGCCCCATGAGGAAAGCATATAAAAATAACCACAACAAAAAAAAATACTCCAAAACATTTTCTACATCCAACACATCTCTATTCTGTATGCATTATCTTTTTGAACATTACAGCTGTCTTCCTGTAGTATAGCGTTGCTTTAAAACAAGAAGTACTACCAGCCACATGCCTAACTGGCTGTGTGTTATAATAAGTTGAGTCCTAAATGCATGAGATCTACAACATGCTGTGGTAGGGAGTCCCTTTAATTGTCCTTGTAACATTTTCTCTGATATTGCCGTTGGAACTCACAGAGGAGCTGATTGTGCTGTGTGTGCTTGTGTGCATCGTGATGTTTGCCTCCTGATACAGTGAAATTTTCTCTGCCGGGTCCCCACTAGATGACCTTAAAACAATAATCCATCTGCAGCTGGAAGTGTCAGTTTTTGATGAAGAAGCAAACCATAGAAGGTGGTGAGAGTCAGGAAGATGGTGTGGGTAGCACCTTTCACTGTTTCTGTCAATATTCTGTCCTTTAATGCTTTGAAATTATAGATATGTAGAATCTGTAAGTGTAGTAAGTGTAGAATGAGGATGCTGACATCATTAGCATGTGCTTTGCTGCAGATGTTGCAGTGCTTTAAGAAATTACAGCTTTGCAAAACAAGTCCTATTGCTTTTCTTGGAATAATATAGTCTGTGAGATAAACTAACATGCCTTTTTCCCTTTTCATCACTTTGTATCCTAGTGTTTCAAGACAAAAGCTTTGTTGCCAGCATTGTATAAGTGGATACACTTTTAATTCATTTCTGCTTGCCAGTATTTCTGATGTGGCTAGATGGGTGTTAGCTGTCTGGATTTGCACCCAGGTCACTGTTAGGATGATTCCACATAAACTGAGGCAAGCTGGATTCTCGATGTTCTCACTTGTTTGTTATTGTAATTATGTTGCGTGACTGAAAACCTATCTTTGTTACTGTTACTTGTTTAACAGTATCATCTCTTGGGGAAGAAAGTATCAAAGTTAAGATAAGCCCTAGTTATTGTAACAAGGTTTAGAAGAATGTGGATTTTGTTACTGGAAAAGCAAGTGAGTTTTAGGACTGTTTTGCATAGCTAGAAACACCTTTACATGATACATATAACTTTGTAGAAAAACCACCGCATCTTAATGCTAATGGATGCCTGTTTATTCTCCCTGGGAAGCGTGAAACCTCTCTAAGTGCTACAACTATTTTGGTCCTTGTTAACCTTGCCTGGAGAGGTAATTATTGTGTATCTTGCAGCCCAATTTAATGGAAGTGAGCAACGGCAAGCATCTCCTTCTCCCTCAAATGACCAGCACAGGCAGTTAAGAACAGCCGGAGGAGGCTTTAAACCCATCAAACATGGCAGTCCAGAATTTTGTGGGATCCTGGGAGAGAGAATAGATCCAACTATTCAACTGGAAAAGCAGATGTAAGTAAGCACAGTAATTGCTCTCTAGCTCTTTGCCTCCCCACTTACAGGAGCAACAAGTGTCCCAGATCCTGCTGTCCAGCTGCCCCTCCTCAGTGTTCCTTCTGTTAGTGCTCACAAAAAACTATTCTTACTAATCCTGCAAAGTGTAAGTAACTTTCACGGGGGACAAAATAGAGTTAAACAGGAAACTCATCTCAGGAACAGTGAATTTTATCTGCCAAGAACATGCAGTTATTCCACTTTCAACCATGTTGATTACATTGCATTAGGGAAAACAAGTGTATATTACATATCTACAAATTGTTCTTTAAAGCTGCACAGATTCCATGTCTTTGTGGCTGCATAGCATGTTTCTAGTAACTCAGACATGCCTTGCATCTGGCTGTAACACTGCTCCAGGGAGAGACTGATAAGATCGCTTACAAAGCTTTCAGAAAAGAGTGTGTTATTTCTACTGTGGTGGTGTCAAACTTGAGGGTGGTATTTAGATGCAGTATCGTTAGCCCCAAACTCAAGTTCTGGGGGAATTCCCTGGAGTGAACGTCTGGTATCCACAAGGGTAGCTTCTGTCCTGCCTCATTGTTACCCTTCCTTGAACTATTTGGACAGACTGGCTTGTGTGACGGAATGAACCACTGTCCTGTATCATACCAAAGACACAGCCTCACAGAAGGGGCCAGAACCCCCTGTTACACAAAGAAAGAAAAATCTTCTTGTGGAGCAATTTATATAGGTTACACTGGTACTTGTGAGCACTGAGAAGCCCAACGGATTCACACAGTAAAGTGAGGAAGCTGTGTCATGAGTCCCTGAAGGCAGTCCTACTCCAGACACTGTCATTAAGTTAGATGCAGAATTTATTTTCACAGGAGAGGGAGGGCATAATTTAGCATAGATGTGAGTGTGGTCTTGGTAAGACTACTTTGTTCCTGAATGGTAGTGGTATTGGGAGGATTAGCAATCCTTTTGCACTTCAGATCCTCAGTAGAAGAGAATCCCCTCTGTCAGTTGCGTCTGAAAGAAAGTAGTTCCAGAAATTCCTTTTCCTTTGACATTCTATTTTTATGTGCAATATTTGGAAACTTAAGCTTGAAACAGAGAATAATATCATCTGCACGGTGTCATATTCCATCTAACCAAGTACCTTTGAACCTTCTGCTCATTGACAAACTGTACACTTATCTCCAACAGAGGAAGCAGCAACCTTGTGACAACAACTATTGTGAAATCACTCACTGGTACTGTTAGGTAAATGACTAAAAGGCTATAAATTTGACTCTAAAATTTGGTTCTCAGATTTGGGTAGTTCCAGCCCACCATACCCCCCAAAAATACACTTAAAATGCTGCAGGAAGTTGAGCATCTGTTAATTAATTTTTGACTCATAAATATATTGTTGTGTAGATCTCTCTTTTCGTATAACTGCAGTTATATATAACTGCAATTGATAATAACAACTGAAAACTGCAGGCTAGTTTTGCTTTCTTTAATTATTCAAGTTTTAACTACATTAGATTCTTTTTCATTCTTCATTATGCAGGATCAAACCTGAAACGAATTCACAATTAACAATAATGTGTCAGAAAATGGAAGAGTTTACATTTGTTGTACACTAGGTTATTCATAATCAAACTGCTCGAGTTTTAGGAGCATGAGACCTCTCCACAGTGCAGGCCAAGCCATTCCATCTTTCTCTGCAAAAATGGAGTCTGTTTTTGTAAAGAGGAGTAAAGATCTAGAGCAAAGGAAGCATGCAAATTGACAAGTGGATTTCTAATGGGTAGGTTAGGAAGTTTCCCAAGCAGGCAGGAATACTAAGATGTGATAATATATCAAGAAAATACTTCTAGTTGCTGGTGATTAAGGAATCTGTAACTATGAACTTAGTAACTCATGGACCCAGGGGAATTGAATTAATTTGTTCCATTTTCTCAGTAACAGTGAAAAGAAGCAAGTGTGTTCTGCTGTTTCCGTTGCCTTATTGACAGTGAATCCCTCCCAGCTTATATGCAAGATTTGGTGACTTCCTGTTTTGCTCTCACCAATTCAGAAACAGAGTAGTGTTGTGCATTATGTGAGCTGTAAGAACTGATTATACTTACTGTATAATTGATGCAGCTGTCCTGTCTTCAGTGGAGCTGTGGTCACTTAAGGGCTGAAACCTGACCATTGAGAAATTAAGGGACATCAGAAAGAATGTTCTATAAACCACAGTCAGGATGCTTTCAATTCTGGCAAGAGATCCTGATAAAGGTCAAAGTGTGTGATTACGTTTGATTTTTCTTTCAGGTTTGCATTGTGTGCCTATGTTTTCCAGGATATCTTAGAAGACATGCATGTCTTCAGGTTTTTATGTCCCATGCTTTTGCATTGGTATCTTTCACAAGTTGTCATTTCACTATTTTGTGATCACTTCATTGACATTTGAATCTTTGACCTTTCAGCACAAATACCTATATGTTGACATTTAAAAAATGGACACACCCAGGGCAAACAGCCCCAATACAGCTGAAACAGCAAATCAGTCAGGAACTTTAAGCTGATTATAGCACTATGCTTATCTCTCTAGCTATCTGGAACAGGAGCAATCTGAGTGTCCCGCTTACATGGGCATATGATTCACAAGCAATTACACTTCTGGATACTGCTGTTTACTCTCAGCTGTAGGCAAAACAGCTTCCAGGCATCGCTGCTGAATCAGATGTTCTCCCATCAGCAGTTGTTTTCATACTGCGCTGCTTTTCTTCTGAGAGTTTTAAAAGCAGGTTTTACTTCCTGGAACCAGCTCTGCATTCTTTTTCCGTGAACCTCTCTGCCAACTGGGAAGACCAGATCTGAAGAATACATGAAATACTCCCCTGTGAATATCAGAGTCTGGGGTACCTCCCTGGTTTTGGCTAGGTCATATTTTATTTTGGTTTTATTTGGCCTTTTGGGGAGAGAAGAAAGAAAAACTATTTATAGCTAATAGGAATAATTTTTAGACTCTCCCAAATCTATTTTCTGATTTACACTTAGTGTTAATATTCTCCCCTTACACTCGGAAGACCTAGTCTTTAAATTGCTTGTTGAGAAATATCCTTCAGCGGTAAATATCTAACGGGGCATAGGGAGAACACTGCCTGAAAACATTCGCATCTGTGCCTCAGTTTTACTTGAGAAGTGATGGGGCTGTCAGGGCCTCCCTTTCTAGTCTGTCTTCAATATACAATAGTATAACCCTCCTTTTAGCTTTCTCTAATGCAGACTTTGGTTGTAACCAGACACACCATGAATTTTTAATTTGAGCACCAACTTTTGTCTAGCACAATCATCAGATTTGACAAAGGAGCTGACATCAGCACAAGGTAGTTAAGAGCATGACTTCTGTCAAAGGGATCCCTCTGGTCTTTATTCACTTACCTTTTAGCTGGAACATGTCCTATAGACTAAGTTCAGCAGAGAAATAAAATGAGAAAAAATGGAAGAAAACTTTTTTGCACAAGGCCAGTGACAGTTTCAGGTAATAACAGACAGAGAGCACTTCTGATGTATGGATTATCCTGCTTAGGCAGGCATGGTAGTGTCACATCATGCTTCAAAGTGCATCTGGCAATTGCAGGAAGGGAGAGATGTTCCTCAGAGATGTGATTGACCCAGTGCAGGGCCAGGCACATTACATAGATCAGGAAACTTGGCGGAAGGGTCAAAGTGTTTACTACTGGACTGTGAGATTTTAATTGCTGATACAGAGCAGCAGGTGCTGAGGAGGTTCTTTGTTTGCAGTGGTGAGTTTAGTGAAGGACCTACCACTCCTGTCTGCATTTCCTTTCTTCCCTGAATTGATCACACCCACTCCACAGATCCACCAGAGATTTACTTAAAGTGCTCTGAGTTGTCACAGCTGTGTTTAGCTGTCTTTGTTATAGATCTTCACACTTAATCACTTTTCTCCTTTCTCGAAGATTTATTTTAGCAAATCTTTTCCGCTATTAAGTGTTCATATCCTTCAGATGTCATTTTTGTTTTGTTTGCTTTTGTTTGTTTTCTTTTTGTTCCTGTGTGTATTAGTTGAAATACTGATACATCACAGGAATGAAACAGAGTAAATGTGTATATTGTGGATCTACTGCTTGCAAGATAGAGATTATAATGTGTTGCTCTGAGTGGGAATTTCTTACATAAATATGTACACCAATCCTGTTGCATGTTCTCCTGATCTAAGTTTTTTCCTTCAGCTGGCAGGAACTACAGGTCTCCACAAGTTGTAAAGTTAACTTCAGATAATGCAAGCAATCTGCTTTTAATCCATAATATGGTAGATCTTAGATATTCATGTGATATTAACCATTATTCATACCTTAAAGAAACAAAGTAGTGAAAGGAGTATGAGTTGGAATATGTGTGTGTATTAATCTCTGCTTTTTCCTAGATGGTATCATGGAGCAATCAGTCGGACAGATGCAGAAAACCTGTTACGTTTATGTAAAGAATGTAGCTACCTTGTAAGAAATAGTCAAACGAGCAAGCATGACTATTCTCTTTCACTGAAGTAAGTACTTGTCAGTAAAACATAATAAATGTAATTTATAAGCCATAACTTCTCTGGTGCAAGAAGAGAAAATGATCCAGTCTGTTGCTGCACTGGTTGAGCTCAGAAGGGCACCCAGGGAGTTTGAGACTGTCAGTCTGCATGATGTATAGTGACAGTCACTGAATTGGAACCTTGCAATCTGGGAATGTTAAGAGATTTTTAGTCTTCATTTGGTGCCCATTTGAATAAATAAACTTGGATTTTTTTTTTTTCTGGTTCTGATTTGAAACGTTCCTGCTGCTTCTGCTTCAGGCTGAATAACCAACTGTATCATTTGGTGATTTTATTCTTTTAGTTTCATACATGGAAGGAAGGCTTCATGTGGTTTACGGTGGTAGAGCTGTACAGTATTGCTAAAATTCTTGAAAGTAAAAAGCCCAGGATCAAGGATAAAGGATCTACAGAATTAGGAAATGAGCATTGTTCCAGTCTTAGTGCTGCTTTGAACTTGCCTCACCTACCTTAGGCTGATCAGGGTACGTTACAGCTATTGGCTTCGACACATCATAGAACAGAATCATAGAATGGTTTGGACTGGAAGGGACCTTAAAGATCATGCAGTACAACTCTCCTGCCACGGGCAGGGACATAAGCTCACTTACATTTGCAGCAGAGGAAAAATTTCCAGGTTTTCCGTGCAGGAGAACAAGAAGCCCCTTGACCTTGGTATAGGCTGTGCAAGTGCAAAGAGAATTTGTTTCTTTTCTTTCCCTCTTACAGGATAGGGTCTGATGTGGAACCTGCCCTTCCAAGTAGGTCTGGGACACAGGCCTGCTTGCGTTTTTTACTAGCATTACTCCTGATAGTTTGGCTTTTACTTGGTGTCTTCATAGGTCTGTTCTGGAGACACATTTTACTGCTGGGATGATGGTAATATTTGATAGTAACAAGGTAACACTTCCATAGACAGCATCAAACCTGATCCTTTTTACATTCTTATGTTGACGAGAAATAAAGGGCACATTTACCCTGGTTTAGTCTGATGGTCTAAACAGTAAATTTCAGATTGGTTTTATATCCCCACTTTGGGTTGAGTAGAAGTGCATCAGTTAACTACTTTTAAGATTCTCTTCTAGGACTTAAGAAAAATATTTTGTAGGACTATTTTTTAGATCTCGATTCCTTTGCTATTATTGTTGGGATCTCTCTGTAATACAGAGGTCCACCGTGAACTGGAATGTACCTACTTTAGAAATGTGGTTCAGCTCCTGTTGTCCCTTTTGTCATTTGATCTGTGTATTCTCTGACATAGTAGTCCTCTAGATATTTTCAGACATTGAAGTGTTAATGACACATGCTTCAGATATATGCAGGCTTAATTTTTCCCTTAAATTCATGTAAGTCTTGGAATATAACTTTTGTTTTTTAGTATTTCACTTAATTCTTGCATCAGAACAATGATTTTTGTTATTCAACCAGAGCATAACTTCAAGAGAAAAAGGTGACGGTTAAATTTATATTTTGCAATTTTGGACATCTAGATGCAGGTCTTTAATGTCCTTTTGCATGTTGTAGTCCCTTTACCTGTTGTATTCCAAAGTTTTTTAAACCAGATTCCCTGGTGGTACTTATTTTAAGTCTCCCCATAACTTGCTCTATAGTAAGGTAGCTAAATGACTGACTTCCTCTAATCTGTGTTTTCTGGAGCATAAGATTTTTTCAGTACTCTTCAGCTCTTCTGCCATACATTTGTCTAGTGCTGACTCTGGCCCCTTGATGCAGTCTATTTAATTCTGTATACCAGTCCCCTGTGATGATGATTGTTCTTCTATGGCCCCTCCAAAGCTCACATAATCCTCTTAAGCCCATGGTATTGCAGTTAGAATTCATGTCCTGTCCATTAGGTGGTGATCAGTTTTCTTTTTTTCCAGGAGCTCTCCTAATAGCCTGCAAATGCAATCAGTGTTTTCTCTCAAAGTATCTAGCTGAATAAAGGATCATGTCATTTAACCACACTTAAGTTATCATGCAAACCTGCTTCCTTTGCTAGAAACCTGCTTCTGTTTTACTTGCCATCTCACTGACCATTACCATCTGCAAACTACTGACAAAGTTATGTTTGATGCTGTTGTTCACATCTGATTTTTACTCACTCACATATGGCTCTTTTCCCCTTCTGTCCCTATTTAGGACATTGAATTTGTAATTCATTGTTTTCTAATCCTCTCCTTAATGAAGATGGTTTTCCAATCAAAGTAAGGTTTTGACGAGTTTTGGTAATTGTGGAGATCTTGTTCCTTAAGCTCAAAGAGTTAGTCATTGGACAGTGCTCAGCTTATACTCACGATCCTTGGTTGAAACATTTCCTCACAATCAGCCTGGTTTATGACTACTTTTAGCTGTGGGAAGCTACCCCTTCAAAGTGCCAAACACATGATACTATTTTGTGTTCTGACTCCCTTGCATAGAGGCATCTGATAAGTCTGTGATGAGGTTATTTTGCACCTATGCATGCTTACCTTGAGGTCAGCCAGAAATCCAACAGAAATCATTCATTGCTCTGCAATCTTACAGCCTCATTACTATTTGACTTGCAAGACCTCCTGCTTCCTTCATCTTTGGTTTAAATGTGAACACAGAGCCTTTCACTAGTAATGGATGGCAGTAGCAAGAACAGCTGCGTGAGGTGTGACCAAGTGGATGATCTGCTCAGCCCAGTAGCAGAGCTACGAGAGGAAGTAGAAAGGTTAAAGAGCATCAGGGAGTCTGAGAAAGAGACAGACTAGTGGAACCATGCTCTGCCCTCCCTGAGACAGAAACAGGAACAGCGACCAGAAAAGCCCCAAGATTAAGGGGATCCTGTATCTTCTTCCTGCCAGGCAGAAGGCAGTAGCTTAAAGGAAAGGAGTGCAGGCAAGTCCAATGTCAGGCCAGCAGGCAAACCCCCTCCTTGCCTACCTTGCCTTCCCAGGTGCCTCTATGCAACAGATATGAGGCTCTGGATGTGGAAGGTCAGTCAATGGATGGTGTGGATAATGGTCCAGAAGTGTTGCCAAGGTCAGAAAGACCTACCCCCTGTATCATGACCACCTCAATGAGGAAGAAAAGACTGGTTATAGCTGTAGGTGACTCCCTTCTGAGGCGAACAGAGGGTCCAATATGCTGGACAGACCCACTTCTTAGGGAAGTCTGCTGCCTCCCTGGGGCCTGTGTTAAGGATATCACCAGGAGGCTTCCTAGCCTGGTATGGCCCTCAGAATATTGCCCATTATTACTCTCCCATGTGGGTGGCAATGAAGCCGCAACATGTAGCCCAAGGGCAATCAAAAGAGACTTCAGGGCCTTGGGACAGTTGGCAAGGGAGTCTGGAGCACAGGTAATTTTTTCCTCTATCCTTCCAGTTGCACACAGCAACACTGGAAGAAACAGATGGACTCAGTCTGTTAATAATGACTCTGTGGCTGGGGGCCCCGCCCCCAATTCCGCTTTTTT